GGGTCGATGGTTGGACTCGATGATCTTAGAGGTCTTTTCCAACCTTAACGATTCTATGATTCTATGATTCTCTTCTACCAATTCAGTGTAAAAACTAAAAATTTAGTGACATTTGTAAGACTCACATTTGCCTTTGCATTAGCAAGTTATATGCCACATGACAGCCATTTCCCTCCAAGATGCTGACGTATATGAAACTCTCTGTCACTTCTGAAGCGTGAAAGAGCAGTATCAAACATACTGCGTGTTGCACATACCAGTAACGAATCTTTTATGACACAAGCCACTTCTTCCAATGAATTCAACTGAATGGAAACCAGCTGGTCTAAAAGATATAATGTAGCTTTTTCAAGGCTTGGTAAGTGACGAAGCCAGAGGCTGAAGATGGCTGATTCAGGGAGGGAGATCTTCTTCCTGGTTTAGAGAGAAAAGGATTATTTTCCCTGAAAAACTGAAAGGAAGACAAAAATGTACTTTTTTTAAAGCACACTGGGGAAAAAGAAGACAGAAAGATCAACCTGCAGCAAGAGAGAGAAAAATCTTGTTTACAGTACTCTGTTCAATATCAAATAATAATGGCAAAGAATAACAGGGAATCACCATCATCTACAAGTGAAACCTTACCACATGTCTTTAAAACCTAAAAATTTGGTTACGGTGGATCCCAGCAAATGGAAACGGAAGGTTTAAGTCTGGAGTTCTCTTCCTCTCTAGAGAAAGGTCCTGCCCCACACTTGTGCTCTTTCAAACCCAGACAACTTCCTGCAGACCGGTCTGCTCAGAAAGTGTCAGCAGCTGACAGATAAGCAGGAAGGTCCTGGATAATTTTATTGCTGGCTAAATCAAAACATGACCAGTCTTTGCAAGAGAAATAAGAAAAAAACCCCAAAACTGAGGCAGAGGTAGGTGTCTTCAGCCCACCAATGTTGACCGGAGCCTTTTAAAAGATAAATGGTCAAGAAGGTAATTATCGCTTCACCTAAAGCTTTCAGCTATAGCTCAGCTGAAGTATAGTGTTGTATCACTAGGAAATAAAAGGCACAGTTTATTTTGAGACAACACCATAATTTGTGTGGACCAGCACAAATCAAAATATACTAAAGGAACCACCCAAGAAGAAGAGATATCACAGCACAAAACATCCTGGAATATTTTTGCAGCTATCATGATAGTTGCAAATTAAAAGGTTAAAAACAAAAAAATACATAAATAACAAGAAATATATGCCTTGGTCTTAAATCAAGTTAAGATTAAAAAACCTAAAATCATGCTGGAGAGTACATGCAAACTAAAGCTACTGATAAAAAAGAAAAATATTAGCAGAAAGAAAGATTTAACACCATTTTAGGATCTATTTTCAACATATGTATTTTACCATACATTCATTTAAATATCAGCCTTCAGAATTCTGATTTCCATTGAAAAGCTGTATTTTTTCCATTCAAAACTATGTAATATCTTAATTTAAAAGCGTACATCTGTAGAGAAGAAATCTATCGAAGTACATACAATTTCAAAATTGTAAAGCAATGCTCAATTTCAAGATGCTGTTTAATTATCATTATTAAAGCACAGATGCCCATCAGAGTAAATTAAGAACTACAAGAGATTACTTAATTTTGCCACAATCATCTTTGTTGTTGTTTCTGTGGCAGCATGGCAGATATTATTATGCCAGGAAAAGAAATCTAATAAGCTTACATAGAGGTGTTCCAACTCTGAGATTTAAAAACCATACAGGAAGTAAACTGTAGACATTATCCTTCTGTGTCTGAACTTGCACACGGTGCCACTGGGACAACGCTGAATTCTGTGGAGCACTGCAAGTCCCAGTATTTAGTAACCCTATTTCCTGGAGCAGGCTTCACCCATGTTCACAAGGAAAACAAGTGTTCAGAACACAATGACAGAGTTAGGGAACACAAAATTCAATTGTTAAAGTGGGGAAAAAAATAAAATACAAGCACATTCATGTCAAGATCACATGAGCTTCAGTGACAGGCCAGGAGTATACCATGCAAAGCACGTGTGAGCCTACATCTGTTCTCAGGGAAACCATACACTTTTGTCAAGGGCCCTGCAAGACTCACTTAGTCAACAGCCATATGAACTGAATTATTTTTGCTCACTGTGATAAACAAGTAGCTCAAAAGTTGAGCAAAGGGACGTTTATTTCAGTCAGAAGAACCCTTTATGACCATCTAAAGGATTCAGATTCGCATTACGAAGTAGCAAAAGTATGTCATGATGGACAGCCCATTGGCTCACTGACATCAGTATAGACCATCCATGCTGAACTCGTGAACTTGCTCTGAAAGTTTTCCAGCTGCGTTACTGCTTGTGGAACACATCCAGTCTGAAGCCACGAAAGATGGACAAGTGAAAGATATCACTCTCTTTTTTGGGACACATCTTTTACTACAGACCTTCACATTCCTTTTTCACTTGTTTTCCTCAGCTTCTAGGAACATGTGTACAAGTTAGTAATTGTGCTTTTCCATTAATCATTTATTTTTGCTGGAGCCCTCCACGGAGCAATATAACAATCTTCGTTGGAACGTCTCAGAAATTATGATGTTGGGTACAAGGAAGCAATTAAAACTTTCATTAAAAAGGAGACAAATGGATAACTGAGGTAAAGTGTTCACAAAGGACCTCTTCTAGTATAAAAAAAAAATTGTTTATAATACAGTCCCTCAGCTACAACTTGAATAAAGCAACTCTCAACCAAAAGTAGGCTGTGCTTTCCCTGACGTCTTTCCTTCCCTGGCATAGCCAATCTTGCTGATGGTCAGCTTCACTCAGCTGTTTTTCATCCATAGACTGATTTTATCAAAACAGTGGTTTTAGTGGCAGCAAAACAAGCAAAGTTATACTTCAGAAATTGCTCCTTTCAGACTCATTAAAAATCTGCTGAAAACCAGGAGAATTTAAAATCTTGAGAACCAATTTCACAAGAAAAAAAAAAAAGAGATAAATACAGAACCACTCGAACATAAGGATCTATCTTGTGCACAGAAAATAATGATGGCTCTCAACACCACTAACCTGACATTTTGATACACTTATATGAAAGGTAAGTAACATTTCTGTGAAAAGTGATCATATCTTTCACAAAATTCCTGAAATCTATTGAAGACTTTAACCTCTATTTTAGGGAAAAGGTGGGACAAAGTTCCAGTAAATATTTAAAGCTGTTATGCCACAATTTGTACATCAGCAATTTAAAATTCCGCTGTGGCCTACCACCTGACCTCTGCCTTTCAACTGCAAGGGAAATATTTTACTAGAATGCAGAAGATGTACAGTGCATTCAGCATACAAACCCAGAGAAAAGACATTTAATTGCATTAATAATCTTTATGAAAAGAGCATAAAAATCATACAGACCATGCTACTCACTTTAAAAAGGCCTCATTCACAGCCTCCAGAAACTCTGAACTGAGAATTTCTTTTGATGTACCTCCATGGTAAAGAAGGAGAGTTTCCAGCAATGGAGTTAGATCAGGCATAGTAATGAGAGGGAGACAGAAAAGGGACACAGCATTCACACGACTGGCTGAAACTCTGAAATAAAATATAAATACAGTTCATATTTCAGAAAAGTCAAAACTTTAATTTCTAAACTGATAAGGTAAAAGAAGATTAAATTAATTACAGAAGGTTAAATGTAAGAGATGCATACCTAACTGCAGAAAAATTATTTATTGGAATGACTGTTGACATGTCGTTACATATTGTCTGAAGAATCTTAAGGAGAAGTCACATAAAATTTTGATATTTTAGTGCTCAGGGCAAACTACGTGAGGGATATCAACCCAATTCCGAAGTGCAGCCAATTGTGTTCGCTCAGTAACCACACCCTCCCTAGCAGGGAATGCTTTGTCTTCCCAGGATCAGTGAAGCACAGGTAAGGAAGACTACAGATTCACAGCTCCCATGTAGGTTTGCTAGACCCTCACAAGAGACCACCTAGCTGCTTTTAAGGCCTCCTGTGTTTCCTCCTGTGTCTCTCCTCTCAACAGAGACAACTTCTATGAACCAAACAATACGAATCTTGCTGTCTTCAAATGCTCAGCTGAAAAATTTTTGTCTTACAGATCTACAGTTGAAGGAATATGTAACACTTTTGGATCTTAATATATGAACCACTCACTTGACATGCTCACTAAAACTACTTGCTTGGAAATGATTAAAGACAGTGGAACCTGGAACATAAATAAAACATGGAACCTTTGGAACATAAACAAAAAGGAAAATGGCACACAATATAAGAGATAACATTTGCAAAAGGAAATCACAAGTTTCCCAGATTATATATAGTTTCCAGCACATGTAACTGCAGATTTTTCTAGATGCAGTTTTGACAGGAAGACATTTATGAAGACTAAGAACTCCAAAATATTGAATTCTAGCAAATTAAAAAGTGCTAGATTGTTCGTAAAAGGCTTCCTTGACTTGCTACAAGTTTCTCCTGATTGCATCGTTCACTAAAACAGGTGCATTCTTTGCAAGAACCCAAAACTGTTTTCTTTGGGGAGCCACCAATACAGTCTATGAAGAGCTGAGACAGGAATTACACTACAGGCTGCTCTGAGTAAGAGCTAACTCTATTGCCCTCCATATATTAAAGCTACTCCCAAATAGGTGTTGCCTAATGGTCACTGGCATATGCTGTGACAGAAATGCTATGATTTGTGGCATGGGGTACCATTGTAGTTTCCACAGTGAGAGAAATAAAACATGACACATTTTCAAAGACTCAAATTTCTGAGCAAGTACCTAACCAAATATGAGTTTAAGGTTTCTTACACCAAAATACTTCGAGATGCAGTTTCACTATGAGAAGTGTTTCTGTAGCAATGGTAATTAATGGGCTGATATTTATTGTGCAGTAGTGTTTTTTGGGACATACATGTAAAGTTCACAGACCTGAGACTCTAAATCAGTGCCCTTTACAAAATTCTGTTTCTAATTCTTTATCCAGGGTTAGCAAACTTTAGCAGTTTACTTTACTCTTAATTTCAGAAGAAAAACCCTGCAAAGGCAATTTTCTTCTTTTTCTACATAATCTTCAAAATATTTTCTTGGAGAATACTGTACGGTGCATTCCACTGTGTGCAATGAATTTGCACAGACATTGTCATCTGTGTTGCTGTAAACATCACTGAATGGAGCATGAGACAATGTACACCTCTAACTGCAAACTACATTTGTCCCTGCAACTTGAATAAACAGCCATATCATAATTTCTATGCTCAAAAATCCACCTAAGTCCAAAGTTTTCCTCTTCCCCTGCTAGAAATCAGATATTTCTCTTCCCAACAGTCTCATTAGCTTTTCAGCCAAGCCTGTTTCACCCTACTTTATACAATGTGGATGTTTGTTTTCTACATTGAAGAAAACTTGGTGATGCTCCTCATTAACTGTGTCCATGATTTCAGTACTAAAGTCAGCTCTAAATGAATTCAGGTCATCTACTCTTCCTTAACAAACACCTAAGGGCAAGAAGGAAGGGAGAAAAATAGCCAAGCTATTGGCTCATGATACAAGGAAGATATTTCAACCAGCCTCCTCTTTCCTGTAATTTTATAGGCTATGTGGTGTTAAATAGGTCATAAAGCTGATTTCATTGTATCAGCAGCTTTGACTCTGAGTACCAATAGAATACGCGCAGAACAGTCACACATTTAAAAGAGAAGACACAATTTGAGTACACAGTCTATATTAAAATACCTATCCTTATTTTTGCTTTGGTTTTCTAGCTGGAATACACTTAATTTAGATCCAATCAAAAGGATCTACTGACGTATCCAAATACGATAATTTTTAAGTATTGACAAAAGACTATGATCTGCATTTGTCAGTGGAAAGGCACAAATTACACAGTGAAAAGACTTGATCATGTCAAAAATAGTGACAACAGTAGCATTAAGCAAACGTATTCCCTTTTTTATGGTCACAGATTTTGGCTTAATTCACTGTATTTATGTAGTGTCGATGAAGAACATGATTATTCTCAATGACTGCACCTAGATATGTAGAAACACCCCACACAAAGTTGCAAGGTGATTATTAGCATCTGATAATCTGGACTGGAGATCTGGCCAGAGCACATCAATTTCCTTCCCACCCACTTTCTCAGACTTTCATCCTTAGAAAACCAGGCCAAAGAAGCAGTTAAAGGGTGGAAATACTATGAGCTTCGGTATATATAAAATAGTTGTATGTGAAACACGCAGTATTGCCACAGTACTGTTTGGTATCAGATCAAGGAACTAATGGAAGGAAAATGAGAGGTTCTTTAAATAAGCGTGGACAAATTTTTATCATTAATAACAAGTGCAAAGTAACCACTATTCTGTCATATTAAACTATCACTCACACAAACAGGGAGAAAAACTACTTTGGAAAAAATTTTTTTGCTTTTTCTCATTGTAACTGCCATTTAACTTTCATTATAAGGACACATATAGCAGCCAACATTATAATTATGAAGTTCATGAGGTTCAACAAGGCCAAGTGCAAGGTCCTGCACCTGGGTCAGGGCAATCCCCAGTATCAATACAGACTGGGGGATGAAGGGATTGAGAGCAGCCCTGCAGAGAAGGACATGGGGGTACTGGGGGAAGAAAAATTGGACATAGCCAGCAGTGTGCACTCACAGCCCAGAAGGCCAATCGTATCCTGGGCTGCATAACAAAAAGTATGGCCAGCAGGTTGAGGGAGGAGATTCTGCCCCTCTGCTCTGCGCTGGTGAGACCCCACCTGGAGTACTGTGTCCAGCTCTGGAGCCCTCAGCATAAGAAAGACACAGACCTGTTGGAGCGGGTCCAGACGAGGGCCATGAAAATGATCAGGGGGATGGAACACCTCTCCTATGAAGAAAGGCTGAGAGAGTTGGGGTTGTTCAGCCTAGAGAAGAGAAGGCTCCAGGGAGACCTTATTGCCACCTTTCAATACATAAAGGGATCTTACAAGAAAGACAGAGAGAGACTTTTTACCAGGGCCTGTCATGACAGACAAGGGGCAACGGTTTTAAACTGAAAGAGGGTAGATTTAGATAAGATATAAAGAAGAAATTCTTTATAACGAGGGTGGCGAGACACTGGAAGAGGTTGCCCAGAGAGGTGGTGGATGCCCCATCCCTGGATACATTCCAGGTCAGGTTGGACAGGACTTTGAGCAACCTGATCTAGTGAAAGATGTCCCTGCCTGTGGCAGGGGGTTGGACTAGATGATCTTTGAAGCTCCCTTCGAACCCAAACCATTCTATGACTCTCAGGTTAAGTATAAACTCTTATGTGAAGCACAACTGAACAAGCTTGTCCACACCTGAAATTATCTACATATATATCAAAAACTTTCCAGCTGAAGCCTAAGTTGCCCAAGACTGTGAAAAGGTCCTGAACTATATGAATATATGAACTATAATGATCCAAACCAAAACATCAATTATGTTTAGATAACACCTACCTCCCCTGAATGTTAAGTCCATTGAACTGATTTCCTCTGAGTTCTGTTACTAACGAAAAGACCATCTGTTAAATAAAATAAAATAAAATATAAATTACACATACTACAAATAAGCAGATATTAGTTGCATGGTTCACTGTGTGATTGACGTACTGTGGAGGTTAATAACTTTCTCTGTTCACTCAGTTCGATTTTTTAATGTTTTAATTATTGGTGCCAAATTAAAGCTGTCCAGGTCACTGAATAAACTATGCTGCGAAACGGTTTTTGAATGCACATTATATACCTTCCACATCTGAAAACTAGGAAGCTATTTATTTTAGCTCTGCTTCCCCAATAGTTGAGGCAAAACTTTCAGAAGAGCACTACTAATAATTTTTGTATGCTTTATCTAATTTAAGTCAACATATTATGAAATATTATTCCCATTATTTTTATATATTAAATGTAAAAAACACTTTTACTGACATTTAGGGCTCATGCAGTGCATACAGTCAAAGAAAACGTTCCAAAAGTTACGTTCTAATACGCAAAATAATATATGTAATTTAAACTTCACAGGGAAAAAAATTAATGATAGGGCAGACATTTTTCATTATAACACAACAGCAACAGGAATTTTGTTTTTCTGAACATCTATTACAGTATAATCTAATAAAATATTTTCTCATTTGTCCAGAGATCTCCCACTTCATTTTTTCCCTTAAAAGGCTATAAAAGTAACTGAGGTAAGAAAAGATAAACAAAGTTCAGTTCATGTTCCTTATAACAATGACAGCTCCATGTATGTGCTTATAAACTGGTGATTTATTATTAACAAAGTATCAATTGCACAAAATACTTACGTTTTTAACTAAGTGACAATAATAATCTGCTGATGTGTAGCCAAGAGTTGATATGAATGTACTGGTTTCAGCCTCATTACTTTCCCACTTAGAAGAAGAAAGGAGATGGCACAGCAAACTCTGTGAGAAATCAACGGAAGGGCAATAAAAAAAGTATTAGGCTACAACATGCTGTGTAAAAAGAACTGACTGCTATTGAACTATATCTGAGGTAAGATCTTTTAATTGGTTGTGGCCATTTTACACCATCAATACAGAAGAGCAGGCAGCTCCCATCAGCCTTTTCCCGTTTTTCCATCAGGAAAATGCTTCAGCTCTACAATCAAACGTAGGTTCACACACCGCACAATTTCAGCAGTTGTGCAATAGCAATGGAGGCCACCCATGTCAAAACCGGACAGATCTTAGGTAGGTTTCAGTTCTCTGGGAGCCATTTCAGTCTGATATCATCTGGATAGCAGTAGTCACGTTGCTACACTGAAAAAAACCTCACCTGTAGTCTTGATCAGTACCATGATCAAGAAGAGAAAGCACAAAGTTAACATTTACTTTTCCGTATCACTCCTTCAAAAGGCCCCAGTATTTTTGACGGGATTCAGGGTCTGGCTTCATAATTTAATTTGCTTAAGTTTTTACTCATTATCTTGAAATGATAATGATAAAATTTTAGTTTGACATTTACTTCTCTACCAATTTCATTACGGAATGCTTTAAGTCACATTTAATAAAACCTTTTTAATACATCATATAAAAATCAAAACAATCCTTTGATGATAGATTCAGGGTAAAGTCAGATTAACACATTTGATACACTGGTTCCGCAGGCACATATTGAAGACTTTGAACATAGTACTCTGGTTTCATGCTTTCCCAGTTTTTCAGCCCTATACTACAGCTCTGCTGTCTTTTAGACAGATCTTACACCCCAGCACCTTCCCAATTGAACTCATTTATGAAAACTGTTGTGTGAAATCTTCAGCAGGTTTTTGCATCCCGCTGTCATAACTGAGCAGAGGTAGTTTTATGTTGCTTATCAAATGATCTGCTCTGACTTTGTTACAGTTTTCTTTTCTTCCTGTCCTCTATTGCTACATGCTGATATAACAACACCTACATTCCCCTTCCAGAGTTCATTTCAGGGCTTTATATATCATTGACTCTTAAAGTATAAACTAAATTACACTTCGTATGGCAATAAGTATAAAACCTTTTGTAACAGAGGGTCAGGATTAGCAAACACTGAAAAAGACCTTCATTTTAAAAATATGTAATTAAAAGGAAAGTTCAGATGAAAGCTCTGTGACTTCCATGGTCTTAGCGGTTTCACTCTACATATTCTTTTTAAAAGAGGGATCTGATGAAAGATTCGAGACTAAAAAGATAAAAATCAGTTAGCTCATTTTCTGCTTTCAAATCCAAACCAAGTATTTGTGCACACTTTTGTTGAACATCCCTAAGCAACTGCTTCAGAAGTCCTGGAATTAGATGTTTCCATGTATGCCATGTCTGATTAATGTGAGAGAGAAGATAGGATCAGGAGAAGCACACCAGAGGTCTAAGAAAATTCACTACTATCAAAATAAGTAACAAGCATTTGGGACACCTTATTTATTGTACTTTTGTTTAGGATTATTTTACTACCTTGCAGACTTATGATAAATGCCTAAATATCCTTTTCTTTCATTGCAAACCTTTTCCTAAATATAGCCCTCAACAGGAGAAGCTGCTGTTTTACCGCCATCTAGTGACTTCCCTAAAACTGAGGAAGGAAAATGCAACACAGTGGCAACACAGTTTCAAAAAAGTAATTTACATGCAACTTTTGCATTCTTAAGAAAAAGACATAAAAAGGTGGATTTTCAAAATGTACAAGCATCTAAATCTGTCAAAAGTGAAGGCTAAAATCTATTAAACAGTACAAACTCCAAACAACCCTTAATCAATTTATTAATATGGAACCATACATATTTTTATGGTCCTTTGCAACTATTACTAAAGTTAAAATTTGTTTTCAGAACACTATTAAGGGTTCAGACAAGTAGTTCCTACAAAATAGGATGGTTTGCCAAGTAGAACAAGGGATCAGACTGCAAGTTGAAAACAAAATAAAGGAGGAGTTAGCAACAACAAACCTGGGATGCCACTTTTGCTAGAGGTAAGGAGGGGCACTTCAAAAGTATAGTTTGTTGGATTGTTCAGTGAAAGACTTGCAAAAAGCTTCACTAGTGAGAAGAACAAACATAAAGAGCTATGAAAAGGATTTGACAGGTTGACATGGCACTTAATGACAGCTAAATGAGGGAGTGGCTTAAAATCCCATATATTCACCTTTAACAGTACAAAATATATTACCTAGTGACCTTCTCTGTAACCACAATTTTCCTAAGGATAAAACTAATCAGTCTTTATGTGAAGAGTACTTTCAAAATTACTTTCCCCCTACCCTTGTGTAACCAGTTAATAGAGGAAAAGACAAGACAAAATTACTACACTTCATCAGAGCCTGCATATGGCCTGCAACACTTTCCTGGGTTTTTTGTTTGGTTGGTTGGTTTTTTGTTTGTTTTTCCTTTTCTGAGCACTTTACTACATCCATGCTAGGATTTTACAGATCACGTCAGTTATTTTTTTGGAACACACAAAACCTCTGAACAGCCAGAAGGGGGCAAGGGAAACAGTGGTAAGGAGATACTGTAGTCAAGATGAAAGGAGGTATTAGGTATGTATGAAAGAAAGGTATGTATTAAAGGTGAAAAACATTTGGAATTCAGCTCTATGTCTTATATATTTCATTTTACAGATGCTATTGCCAGTGCAAAGCCTGAGATATACCTATGTGCAACAAAGACAAGAAATTTGGTAACAATAATTTAAAGCATTTATCTTTTAAGGTTTAAATGCTTTCTTTGGTCCAAAACATGTCCAGAAAGTTCTCCTTCTCTCTAGAAAATGTAGCTCATTTACTGTACATAATTCTGGTTGTAAGTGATAATTATTTTACTACTATATATTGCATTAGCAGAGAGCTGTCTGAAAGAAAAGTAAATATTGACGATTCACTCTTACATTTGACGAATGGACTATCAGATGGATAAGGAACTGGCTAGACAGCTGTGTCTAAAGTGTTAGCCAATAGCTCAATGTCCAAGTGGAAACCAGTAATGCCCGCAGGGGTCCATACTGGGACCTGTACTGTTTAATATCTTCATCAATGACTTAGACAGTGGGATCGAGTGCACCCTCCGCAAGTTTGCAGATGACACCAAGCTGAGTGGTGCGGTCGACGCGCCAGAGGGACGGGATGCCATCCAGAGGGACCTGCACAAGCTCGAGAAGTGGGCCTGTATGAAGCTCATGAGGTTTAACAAGGCCAAGTGCAGGGTCCTGCACCTGGGTCAGGGCAACCCCTGGTATCAATACAGGCTGGGGGATGAAGGGATTGAGAGCAGCCCTGCCGAGAAGGACTTGGGGGTACTGGTGGATGAAAAGCTGGACATGAGCCAGCAGTGTGCGCTTGCAGCCCAGAAAGCCAGAGACGCTGGAACAAGAACTTCCCAGAGAAGTTGTGGATGCTCCATCCCTGGAAGTGTTCAAGGTCAGGTTGGATAGGGCTTTGAGCAACCGGATCTAGTGAAACATGTCCCTGCCCACGGCAGAGGGGTTGGACTAGTTAAACGTCCCTTCCGACCCAAACCATTCCATGATTCTATGATTTGTGTAAGGCAAACTGTTTCCTGAAAACAAGATGCTTTCAGCTGTTCTATCGCATAATCCTCTTGTAACAGTACACTTACGTGTAAGTACACAAATGGTGTGGAAGGGGTAGTATAATGGCCAGAAATAAAGCTTATACCTAATAACCTCCAACTAAAAGCAATTATTTTTTTCATATGATTTTTCCAGCTACTTAGCAGGTAAGCTGGATAAGGCAAACTCAGCTGTTGCAAGCAACCCAATTTTCCAGTTAGAACATGGAAAGATAAAACAAGCAAACCATTCCAAGAGATAATTTCTAAAGAGACAAACTGAGAACAAAAAGATCATCAGGTAATTATTTTCTTATTATATTTGTCCATCCTCTTTCATCCTATATATCATTAACTTGATCATCAAAAATACAGTGTAAACCAGAAATGGCTAATTTTTAACTAAATAGCAGTGAAAACTGTTGGTTTTACCTCAAGCTTCAAAGTTCACAATGTTTAAATTCCAGTAATTCCCAGACCTAAAGGGACTGTATCAGTAGTTATTTCACATCATACTGCAGAACTTGGTTAGAACCAGCTCTGAGATCGAGTATAAAACAATGTTTTCTTATATGTATATGTTTCTCCTTTCACTTTTGAAATCACCTCTGTCAGAAAATACTATAGAGAAATCTAGAAGGTTTCAGGATTTTCTCACCTCTAGAAGGTTTCAGGAGATTTTCTCACCGATGTTCTTACAGGATGGTATAGAAATATTCAAAACTAGTAATACGTTCCATTATTGCATTACGAAGCCCCCCGCAAGCACTGTGGAAAAGAAAAAAACATAACATTTTATACAGCCATAGTGTGGATTCCTGGGGTCAGAGAGACCAGTAATTTAAGACTAATGACTTTTAAGGAATCATTTCAAACCCAATAGAAGGTATTCAAGAACATGATGGGAAAGTTGTCAATACTAAATGCATTCCTGTATTGATGATCTCAGTCATGAATCCTAGCCTACTCCAGCAAAGTAGACGATTTGAGATCTATATAATCGTCAGTTATTTCTGGCAGTAAATCAATTACCACTCACTGCATAATCCACTAATGCCATATTCTACAAGCCAGAAAATAGACAAGTCTGTGGCTGAAGTGCTGCATTCAAAAGGAAAAATAACAAGGTGTCATGATTCTGGAAAATGAACAGTAGTCAGGCATACTGTGATATCAGCAATTACTTCTTTCTTGATTTCCCTCACCATTGGTTAAGCAGGAAGCAGGAAGGAAACCACCTTGGTTCTAGTTGCAAGAGAATGCATCCATCCCCATGGCCTTGGATTAAAGTTCTGTGACATAATCCCTTTCAGCCTGAAATTGAATTAATGAATTTTCATAAAGCCCTGACCAACTTCCTTGAACAACCTTGCC